CCATATCCCCCCTCCCCCCCTCTATCATAACGCTCCACTGCACTGTGACCGCATCAATTAAAAAAGATTACTAGCAGGGTGCAGAGAACTACAGTTGCAGAGATCATGGTAACAATTAAAAGCACTGACAAGTTCACAATTAAATGTGATCCCATTTCATGTGGACTTGTTGGACCTCTATCTAATTATACCCTCCCAGCTTATTTTATGTAAGTTCAGGTAGAGATCAGCACAGGTGCAAGCCCAAATGTTTGGGGAACAAAATCACATCGATCTACATTTAAGTTCACACCTGGGTATGTGTGTATCCTGTCTGAGGCAAACATTGTACCTTTTCAATGGGATTCACAAAGGAGCTGGTGATCACTTTCATGAGAGCGGATGATCTGTGATGCAACGGGCAGTACGATGATCGCAAATCTTACAGCTCGGCTGATCAGCTATGCACCCATTCGCGGGTTTTGGTTCCATAAATTATAAATCATCTCAAATGCAAGATGTTAGCCATGCGCCAAATATTGTCCTTCAGAGTGGGATGTTAGGGGTGACTTTTTGTATGTAGCAAAAATTATGTTTTCTTAAAACAGCAGGATCTTAAGCGAACTGGGATTGTAAGCGGTGGGATCTTAAATTATTATAGGCGGAGACTTCACTTTATAAAGTTTATCAACATCGAGAAATGCTGATTTAATGTAGGCCTAGATGCATGCATGCATTTTAATAGAAGGGCCTACAAAATAAAATACTTAACATGGTCTTTCTAAAGCAAACCCGAGGCCAGTAGTGGAGGTCACTATATTATATCATTTTCAGTCTAGCCTACTGATCTTTGTGTGTCTTTATGTTTCGACTAACCAAACACAAAATAGATTTTTGGCCTACAAACTTAAACTATAGATTAGGCCTACGCTTGGATCAAGATGAAATAATGAATCCTTCGTCTAAAACAGTCTGTCCAGTCTTTGTCTAAGGATACTAGATCTAGATCTATCTGCTGACTCATTCTTAAGTCCTCACTCGAAATCACTGGAATGTTTTTCCTTTACCTTTTGCCCCAGGCAGTTAGAACACAGATTCTAGATCTAGACTTAGACTTAGATCTAGATTCTAGAACTCAAAATTCAGCTCTGTAGTCTGTAGGCACTGTCTGTGTCTGTGCCCGGCGCATGCACTCCTTTCCGATCCTTGACAATTGCAGTAACGTGCTGATTGCATAACGCTGGTGGAGTGATGAAACCTCGTAACCCTCAATTTTTTCGAAATTCGTTTTTTTGGCTTAATGTCTTCTCCCAGTCCTTTTTCACAGTGTGTCAAAAGCACAAGGTTAAATTAGTAAGAGAAAGTATGAAAAAAAACTTTATAAAAAAAACTCGTATGTTTGCCCCCATGATATCCTGGCGTGATGAAACCTCGCAACCCTCACCCGGTGCGCCGATCTGCTTTTGCGTGGTTTCATCACTCCCGGTTTGAGAGAGCGACTTGCTTATACGAGTTTCTGGATGAGCCTTCTTTATGAATTAGCTTAATTGAAGCACCCATAACTGACATTGTCTGGTGCATTTAATGTATCTGACGGAATAAAGAAATATTTCATTCATTCAGTCATCCTTACATTCATTCATTCTTTTATTCATTCACTTTATTTCAGTCAGTTCAGAAGTTCAAATATGGTCATACGTGAAGTACTTACATTGTGGAAATATATTAAAGATCCATTCATTAGGATGACTAACGTGCTGGTAATCAAGATGTTCTCATCGAGCACAAACGTAGTTAACATTTAAGTTAAGTCAACAGTCACACCTTGAAATGACAGGTGACGGTAGTCCTTACTAGGACTAGGTGACAGATCTGTGCACTCTCCAGATGTCAACAGGCCATTCTGTTTATCAAAGAGAGGGTAAGGTTTCGCATCTTCTCAGACTATCTTTTTTTTAGTACAGGTTTTACAGCGCCCGCAACTGCATACGGTCAGACGAGCGCCAAGGGGTGGATGTCAACAGAGAAGTCCTTACAGGGAATAAGACTTACTCTGCTCGCCTCTCTAGCTTCAGCAGCACAAAGTCTGCTTCGACTATCAAAGCACCCCGGAAATAGCGGGTCACAAGAGTGTGACAAACATACAGAAGAAGTAGAGGAAAATGACGATAATAAGGATTAGGACAGAAAAAGCAGCAGTTCCCTGTCGTAGTTCAGGCACAGTTATGAGCATGACATTGTTAGATCAGTCCATTTACAATTCTACTGTGCACTAGAACGAGAAAATGTCTCCCCCCCCCCCCCCTTTGGTAATGGCCTAAAGACATTTCTGTCAGTGGCACCGCCCCGGGGGAGTCTCAGACTATGAATCCGCTGTGTAGTCAAATCCTCCAGTTGTGGTTGAGACCGCAAAGTACTGAACTTAACCGTGGTCTTGATGACTCTGAAGTCTTTAGAGGACATTGTGAACAATTTGTGCCTCAACAACACAAGTAATACGGACATTTCCGAATCTGCATTGAATATCTCCTTCTAACTGTGCTCATCACCTAGATCTTTATACACTACAGGGGCTGGTTTGGAAACCACTGAGCAGACCACGTTCCATGAATTGACCCCATCCACCATGTCGCAGTCCTTTCCAGGGCTGTTCCTGATATGTGGAGATAAGGACTTCATCCCAGACTGAGTCTGCACCAACACCGGTGTCGCCTGGTATCATACCCCAAACCATACTGACGTGTCACTAGGCAACTGTAAGTCAGATGCTGAATTACTACCTTCGAGGTCACAGCAACACGATTTGTAGACCATATTCAGGCACCTTAGCCACTTTTCCTGGAGCTTGATCCCGAGACACAGCCCATTTGTGATGCCAGCATAAATGATGCTCCACAGAGGAAAAGAAAGGGTTTTTAGGAGTGGCAACAAATAAGCGAAAAGCTATCCGTGGATCAGGACAGGATCGGAATACGTAAAGGTTCACTGAAAATCCCAGCTAAGTTATTGAAACCAAACTGTGATTGCAAGAGCTGGACTCTGAAATGTAAAGGGCTCTCTGAAGTTGATAGACATTCTAATTTTGATTTAGTGTGGACCCTTTCATGGGATGACTAGTGGACCTCAGAGGAGGTATTCAGAGACTAAACAGATAGGGAATACCTTCAATAAACACTTTTAAAAGGTGGCCATAAGGTGCAAGTGTTAAAAGATGTTCCTGAATTGAACTGGGTTGGGTGAATGATTTGTAAGAAACTTAGAACCAATAATTATCAAAGCAACTCAGATATCTACAAAATATATGCACAATTCTACCAAGACCACGGGAGGCGGCCTCTCAACAGACCCGGCCTGGAAGAAGCATTCAAGCAGAATCACCTGTCGCTGTTCATGTCAAAGATATATATTATGTGCGACTTTTGCATCAGTCGTGAAGTTGACAATGTGCTGGAAGATCTTTTGGAATGCTCACATTCTAGAAAAGGAGGCAGAGCGCAAAGAAAAGGAACGAGATAAATCTGAAGCCATCAAATATCTAGCCAGTGATGAACCTAAAACGGCCGTACTTTCAATGGATCTTCCGCATCAGCCTTACATTACAAAACGAAACTCGCCGTTCATAACTTTACGCTATCGGATGCTGCAACACGTCAGACTACTTGTTACGTGTGTCATGAAGCAGAAGGGGGTTTTATGGCAAATGAGTTAGCTTCATGTCTATTGGATTTCCTAAAGGAAAAGCTGGACTTCCGGAAAACCATTATCGACAGCGACAACTGTGGTTACCAATACAGAAATGCCCCACTAGAAAATGTTCCTCTCAGCTTGTTTTCAACAACACATGGAAGAACAATTGAACAAAAACATTACATCAAATGACAAACACAAATGGAAATTAACAGTGTAAACTCAACTATAAAGACATCGCTTCGAAAAACACGCATCGAGGTCCTCCAAGACTACTTCCATTTCTTCATGATGGCAAGAGCAAAACAAGAAACTCATCAAAACAAATATTCGGATCACACATTCTTCAAGGAATATTCTAAGTGTGGAAGCTACGACAAGTCTATAAAACTAGGTAGAAAAACGGGTGATCCTATTGTCAGGTGTTTGAAGTACATCCCAGACATGAACATCCAGTTCAAGATTCACCTCAAATATGAATGGGCTGCCGTTCCGAAGGCAGGACACAGAAACATAAAGTCCATCCTACCTCACCACTCTACACAAAACGTTAAAGTACAATCACCTACAGGTGCTTAAATCTGTTATTGCCAATATGCATCGTCACTTCATGACAATTTATACCATTAACATGAATGGTTGTTCATTATGATTCAATATCTCTTATGAAACCATCTGTAGTGCAAACAGAGACCATATTGCAGAGATTTATTATTAATTTGTGCATTTTAGTAAAACTGGAAGTAACCACCAGATCTAATCTTGGCAAATTATAGTGGAACAAATTGCATTAATTGCAATCCGTTTGAGAATTCAAACATAAATTCTGCAGGTAACACACATTAATTTGACTTCAATTGGCCGGGAATCGAACTCCAAACCAATTGGTTTCGAATAAACATCTTTATCACTTTGTGGCGTTTCAAACAACAGACGCATACTGCAACCAAAATGAGCAGCGAGAAAACTCGCAACCCTCAAACTCTGTCCTGATGAAACCTCATAACCCACCCGCCCGGCTGACTACGTGGTTTCATCACGACAAAAATGGTGTAATGAAACCTCGCATCCCACAGCGTAACCACATAAACAATAGAAAAGTTATTTTTATATACTAACCACGTTTCTAACATTTTTTTTTATCTATCTTTACCAACTTTGGTTCATATAGGTCATTTTATTCAAGAGTAAATCAGTTTTTTGTCTCTCCTGTAAAATTTTCCTTTCTGGGGTTACGAGGTTTCATCACTCCACCAGCGATAAAGTTAATGCCTGGTAGATTTCTAATTGCTAATTTTAGGCCTACACCCTTTTTTCAGTGCGACAGATAAGGCAACTTACTAAGCCTACAACAAAAATTCAGTGTTGGCTTGGCCTCAGCTGTTCTTTATATAGTCCAGCATCGAGCTGACGAGCCGATTGCATCAACAGATTGTCTAAAATGATTTGTTGTTTCCACTTTAAAAAGGCTAGGCCTAGGCCTGTTGATGGAGTCACTCATGGAGTGTACTACACTTTTTAGCTGCTATTATCATCACTAAAGTACCATTCTTGACTAAAAGTTTGAAAACATGAGGAGAGGGTGGGGGCGTGGGGTGGGGGTGGGTCAAGGAGCTGGGGGTGGGTAGACCAATTAATATTGTAGCTGTTGCTTTGAATATCAATGTCATTGTGCTGTGCGGGTTAGTCTGCCCGTTTGAATTTATTCATTTCACAAGTCAAAATGGCCGACTTCGGCCAACTCCCGTTTTATGCCCTGTGTGTGGGTTTGCTGTTTTTAACATACAGAGATTTCACCTCGTCGCAAGAATCTTACTCTGTACAGAAAGACATCAAAGCTCCAAAGCTTTCAAATTTTGCTGGTCCCACGCTTAAATTTATGTTTTGGTAAGATGGTTTGAATGAAGTGAATTTAGGCTACGCTGTACTGTGTCAGTCAGCCGTCATTCTTCTCTCTGTCTAGAGTCTAGAGTAATCGTACCGGTTCGGGCAGCACGTTTTTTTTTTTTGCTGTCAGGCACTGGAGTACAAGAAGATCGTTTAAAACTTTGTTTTCAAATCTAGCCCCAAAAGAGTGGCACACAAACCTAAAGCAACCTCCCTTATTTTCGTTGAAACAACAGTTACGGCGATATTTTGCTAAAAATAATCCTTAAGACAGCTTTTTCTTCATCAACTGAGCAAAACAGGGTAAGATTGTACTTTACCGGACCACCGGTCGGAACTACTTTCGCTGTGGCGCCCCTGGTGCCTAGTGGCCCGCTGTTCTTCGTGTCCGAGCTCCCCTACTCAGTTTTCTACGTCCTCCCTCTTCAACTGCCAGCAATCGACTGCCGTCTCTTACCGGGTTTTTCAGTCATCACGACCGTGCCACTGTGCCCTTTGACCCATGACCCTGACACCTTGAGGCTAATTGGTCAATCTAATCACGTGGTCCACTATTCTTATTTGCTCGCGACTCTGCTGGCTTGGCCTAGGCCCTAGGCCTACTCCTGGTCCGGCAAAGTACAATGGAGGGCTAGAGATGGGCACGAGAGCTCATTTGCATAATTGCAACCCCATTGGCCCTGCTCGCGACTTATCATGCTATTGTTTATATGTGTGTGTGTGAGTGTCTTTAAATTATTGTTGCTGAAACCCCCCCATTGATATGTAAACACGACTGTCCGCTCATGTTAATTAATGTTATTGTTTCGCATTTTTGTGTGTTTTCTTTATTATAGTTTCCAGGGGGGCAAGCCCCCCTGAACCCCCCCACCCCACTGTTGGTATGATACACGGTGGTCCACCAAAGTTAAAATCCCCTGCCAA